TTTATATCTTTAATTGATTTCTAAATTTGGAAAGGTTAAACATGGTAAATTAAACTGAGCATGTGATATAATATTAAAATTTTTTTCAAACACGCAATAATATAATATTAAAAATATCGTGAAAAAATATTCCTTAAGAGAAAGTTAGAAGATATGAAAAGTTTGTTTGATGAATCTCAAAGATTTGAATTCGAAAACATGGATTAGATTCAAACTTTAGGATAATCGTCAAATATATAAAAGGGTAAAATTTCATTGATGTTATTTTTTTTTTTTTATTCATTTAATTTGATTATTTTTGTAAATTTAAAAAATTAAAATTCGAAAACGTATCATTTAGATATCAAATTAAATATTGAATCTAACTGACTACGACAAACTTCGACATGACGATAGAACTTTTGGAAGGAAAGGATTTAATATTTTATATTTCGATAGAAAATAGAATTAGCTAGTAATCATCATAGGCTTGTTTCAAAGCGCCGGCAGTTGGAATTCTTGTATTTTTATTGAATAAAAATAAAACCCTTGAATTAAATTTTTTTTTTTTTTAAAAAATTTCCAAGTGAATCTACTTTCGCCAATGCAATGCTCAAAAAATCATTGCTATCCACATTCGATATACTGTAAATTACCTCATACGAAATAAAAGATTTCAAATTTCAATATCGAAAAAAAACCCACCTTCTGAAAGAACCATCTGCAACAATAAAGAAATATAAAAATAATTAAACTTCAAAAAAAAGAAAAGTATTGCTAAACTTACTCAAGGACTTGAACTTTAAAGCGAGATAAACGATTCATTTTCCGATTTCCAAATCAATTATATATAATAAATTTTCATTATATAGTATGGAAATTTCATTCCTAATAATCCAAAATCCTAAGAATTAAACTAAAAATTCAAATATTTCAAATGAAATCTTACTTTGCTAAACTTCAAATAAACGATTAAATTATTACCATTCATTCTTAAATAATATCTTTCTCGTGATTTTATCTTGTCAAATCACAATTTTTATATCGCCATTAGAAACTTAACTAGGAGGATATTACATGTAATGGTTAGCGAACACAAATTTGGTTTTTTTGGTTTTGCATGGATCAATAACTAATTAAATAAAAAAATTTGTTTCATCAAATTATTAATTAGCAGAGGATAAATTCTTTTTCTTTTAAAAAATAAAAAATAATAATTAAAAAAAGAAAAATACATTCATAATTGATCCAAAATTTCAAAGTGCATTTCATTTTAAAATGATCTATTAATTTTATCATAATAGCGAATCATTTGCGTTAAAAGGAGATATTGATGAGAATTAATCTAAAGAATTGGTCATTAGGCATTATTATTAGCTTTATTATAAAACAATTTCAAAGAACAAAAAACGTACAATTTTTTGAACTCCTTTTCTTCTCTGTCAATGATTCATTATGTTGTCGTAAGTTTGTCCAACTTTTCGTATGATTGTTGTATTATATAATAAATTTGATTATTTCCTTCGCTCGTATTATCATAATTCCATCATAAAAAATTTAGACGCGAAAAAACTAAATCGATTTCAATCGGTTGCTGTTAACGATTTCAATTCTATTCAAGCATTATGACCACCTTTTATGCATGATAATAATTCGCTGCAACAAATTATAAAGCATTACAGCATTGCAAGGGCTAGTTGCATATTTTTCGTTGTAGTAAAAGAACAACCATGAAGATTTCAGTCCATTTGCCTTTAATGAGTTTGGTTTGCAAAAAAGAGAAGGAAATTAATATTCATGATATTGTAAAGGTGAAATCAAAATAGGATTTTGGTTAAATAACTTTTGATCTTACCTTTATTCGAAAAAATTTTATTCTCAATAAAGATCTTTTTTTTTGACATAAATCGTTTCTAAAGTAGATGTTGACGACTTTCCGCGAGAATGAATCCTACATCATTGATGACTTTAAACTATATACTGATTCTTTAGAGTTATAATAAACTTTACATTGCCATTAAATTCAAATTGGGTTGAACCAATAACTTCCGTACCACAACCATTTTTATTGATTCGCTTAATAGTTTTAATCAAAGAAACAATATCTTGAATACATATGTAGTAGTTCGGTTACTCAGTATACGAAGAACTTGTATCTTTTTATTAGTAATGTTTTTGTTTCTTTGTGGTGATGTTAAAGTCTGTTGAAAGTAAGGTGTAATATTATGCAGTTTATTTAAAGTATATTGAATATACTTTGTTGTTGCACATTTTTGATTTAAATCCCAAATTTACCCAAAAAAAGATTAGCTGACGAATAAAATTTTCTATTTTTGGCAATACAAACAATATTTTTTATTAATTAATGAATAGTGTGCGAAAAATAAAATTAAAAAGGTAAATTAAAAATAAAAATAAAAGTAATATATCAACTTGAATTTTTTTATTTAATTTTTCTAATATTAATTATAATAGTCTGTGGTAAACTAGACTAAGAATTACACAAATAAGATTCTATGATACATAACACAAACAAACTTTATTAAATAAACTATGTGTGCTAAAAATGCTAAATAAATAAATATAATATAACGTAAGAATTTTTTATAATGTCCTAAAATAAATAAAAATTACGATTGAATTTTTATTTCTATCTCCATTCCACTTTCCTTTTCTCTTTCCTCATTTTTTTTCTTTCCTAAACCGTGTAAAATAAGTTCTACATACTCTTTTTCATTTTCTTTCACATTATCCATATGATGGCATTTTTTATTTCTCTGTTTAAAAGTAACACGGGAAATGACAAAACTTTCGTATCTATTTATATCCTCCAACAAATCTTGTAATGTTTCTATTTCCTGTGATGCTTTCTGTGATGATTCTTGTAATGTACTCGGTGATGTTGCTTGTGATGATGTTTCCTGTAATGTTTCCCGTGATGTTTCCTGTGATGTTTCCCGTGATGTTTCCTGTGATGTTTCCCGTGATGTTTCCCTTGATGTTTCCTGTGATGACTTTTTCTTCCATGAAACTAAACCCGACATAGCCAGACTAACGAAGAGAATAGAATCTAGAATAATGTAACGCATGTAACGCGTTTTTTTGACCAAGTGAGGTTATTATATTCATTCGATTTCGGGTTTTTAATCCTAAATTCCTGATATGATAGAAAATCATCTAACAACCAACAATTTAACACACCAAAAAATCCAACAAAACAAAGAATGCTATCCAAAACAATCGATGTAGCAAATCTACCGAAATTAAAATCAAGAATAATAACAATAATGAAAATAATTGAACACATAAAAGCCCACAAAGAGCGATAAAACTTCAATTTTTGTAATTTTTTATTCCGAGACTTAATTTTTTCTCTCAATTTTTTTAAACCTTCATCATGAAGACCATTATGTAAAGCAAGTTCAATTATATTTCCATCAATGTTAGGAATTCGAATTTCTTTTGGACGAGTTGAACTAAGAGTTTCAGAAATATTTTTCATACTTGTAAAAAGACTAGTAAAAGTACCAACTCCAACTATGGAATTCTGAACAATTCTTACAATATCTAAAACATTTTGTTCGGGAAAGCGTATATTTATAAAAATAAAAACTACTCCTAATATAAATGTAAAGGCATAAAAGACAGAGTATAAAGCCATATTTCGTTCCACGTTGTCCGTAAAGCTATAATTATTCTCCACAGCTCTCTTTAATCTTTCCAAATTTAATTTCCTATCCATACTTTGTTTCGTCCATTTGATTTCATCAGGTGTGACTTGATTCTCCATTTTCTGAGGTTAATTAATTAAGGCCTGATTCGGAGCTTTAATCAAGAAAAAAATTACAAGAATACCTAAAGCTGATAGAATATATAAAATGAATATATTTTATTTTTTTTTGTTATAATTGATTAGGAAATTTAAAATTTTATGATAATTAAATTGATATTATTATTTTCATTAATTGTTGAAAAATATTTTTTTTTTCTCCTTCCATTTCGACCAAGCCTCTTTAAATAAAAATGGTTATGCTTCAACAGGTTCGACCACATTGCCAATTTCATGCATCACAATAGAAAAATATGCAAAAGCTATTTTTGTGTAAAAAAAAAAGAATATTCTTCCCAATTAGTAATCTTTGAAAGGGCATTTGAACCCCATTTCGACCAAGAATTTTTTAAATGAAATTACCAGATAAGAACAATGAATAATGCATGCATAATAAAAAACAAATGAAAATCATTTTTGGGTGTGTAGAAGATCGTCAACAATTCCTCATAAATAGATTTTACAAGGAAATTTCGGATATGATGCTTTCAAACTTAATATCGCCCTGCATTAAAAGATTTTTCCAGATAACTGGTTTAATATTACAAAAGCACTCAAATATTTTTACATATTTTTTTCTTGCATATCAGCAAAGGTTTCAATAAAGACAAAACCGACTTTTACTTATGAATTATGCTCGCCGAATCATTTGTAAATGATACAGTAACATTTCTCCTATTATTTCCTATTTCCGACAACTGGAACTACCACAACCTTATTTTCGATGTAATTGAAAATTCTAAAAATAATAATAACGTTATTACAAGTATATTCCATAATGACCAATAATTCAAGAAGCAATTTATCAAGTGGAATTATAATCAGCATGACAATTACGCATTGTCAATAGAGGTATTAGAAAAGTCAAACGATTGATTTCATAATTAGATAAGTGCCGATCGGATCTTTCTAATTTGAGTCACCATTCATCATAATATGAATAAAATAATGATAAAACCGAAAATATTGTCTTAACCTTGTTATAGCTTTCAAAAATATATGCATTTGACTATTTAATTGAAAAAAACGTGTAACGTTTGTCTTCTATTTAATAATAAAGTTCGTCAGGTGACTTTGCGAACTAAAATCGGAAAAAAAAACGGTAAAATTATCATATTGAAGAATTAGCAAAGGTTATAATTGAACATTTTACGCATAATATGTAAAATCTACAATTATAAAGGATTTATTCGAATAATTTAACCTGGATTAAAAAATTTTTTTTTAATAAAATGGAATTATCAACATTATCATCATGTGACATCTTTCAGGGAGGGGAGGTTCACAATCCAAATTTAATTTCTAATATTATTTAGCTACCGGAAATGCCGATCTGCTACGCATATATTATTTTCCTTCCTTCGAAATATTTACTTAAATCATTTTTTCAATAAGTATTTAATATCTTTATCAGATTCTAATGAAAATAATGAAAATGCAAGTTTAATAACTTAAATAACCGTAACTAAAAATATCTTTAGTTCTTTTTCATACAATTTTCATCAAGAAACCTATATTTCTGTCGAAATTCAAAATCAATTCCGATTAAATGATTATTTATTAATATATATATATATATTTTTAAACATTTTTTGAAATATTAATAAATAATGGCGCGACTAAGTCGACAGCTGAATCGACCGAAAACGTTCTAATGTTTGCAACTACTAGATGAAATGTCTAATTATGCTACTTATAATTAATTTCATAAAGCGTAATTAATACATTTATCTTCTAGCACAAACCAATTATTTATGAGATTACTACATGAAACTTAAATGCTTCAAATAAAAAACGCACAAATTTCCAAAAGTACTCACCACTCGAGCTGTTCAGTTTCATTAAGAAACTTAAGAAACACTAGTAGGTCTAGGAATGATGAATAAAACGTTTAAAGTATTCATATTGAAGCTGTATAATTCTTGTTCTTTTTCAAATTTACTAAATTTACTGAATCTAACAATTCTTCAATGGGGAGCAAATTTCGTTATTTGCACTCAATAGAATCTTATATATAGTTCAAAGTATCATAAATTAGCATTCCTTGATATTATATAATCCTGTATATAATTTTTTAACATATACCAATTTTTTATATTACATTTAATACATAAATAAACAAAGTTTATTAAAGGATTAAATGAAATTGTTGCTAAAATAAGAAGATATTGTTCGCATCATCATTATTATTTATTAAAAAAAAATTTTTTAATTAGATTTGTTGACTTTGTTGACTGTTGATCGGAAAAGCTTAATTTGAAGACAATGGAAAGTGCATATGTAATCAGTAAATCAATGCTAAAGTGGAAGATTGACATCTTAAAAAGTAAATTAGCCGAAAACTTAATTTTTGATATCATATCATGCCGATTTTTCTGAGAAAAATTATAATTGTCATTGTTATATCCTAATATTGTATGCCCTGTAAAATAAATCCGGCTATCAATTTTTCAGGGACGCTAGGGTCGTTTTTAACTTGTTTAAAATACTCTTTAAAGTTACAAATTAAAAAAATTTCGATTTTTCATTAATAGACTGGCTCGAGCACAAATTAGTTCGCAGGCCGAACGAGAGCTTTTAAGTTGGCTCAGTGGAATTGTGCTCGAATTTGTCTTAGAAAAATAAAAGTGGTTAGTTTAAATCATTTACTATACTTTTACTGATGCGTTCAATAATCAAACTTCTTTTATCGAGAATAATTTAAAATTTTTTATAATGCAGATAATGGGGTGGATGAAAATGTCACCCGTAAACAGCTAACTCTAATTTTGCAAATAATTATGAATTTTGAATATTTTTCTACGATTAATTATTCACAGTAGTACGAAATTAGCGAATTATTAATATTTTAATATATTAGTTGAGAAGTTCATAATTTTCTGACATTATATCAAATCTGGAACAAGGCTCATTCATTTGAAATTTCGGAGTTGACTTTAATTGATTTATGCAGAGTCGACTCAGCCTTCGACTCCGACGCAATCGGCTGGTGCTACTAATTATTCAGGTTTGTCATTTAAAAACTAGGGATGCAAAAGTTTACGGTCAGTAAGTCATAATCATGACCGATATCAGGCTTCTGACCGACCGGCTGACCGATAAATTTGAACGATTTTGATGAACTTGACCGATTGATTTTGAGATTTTTTTTGAATTTCTTAACAAACATTTTTTAATTAGTAAAGTATTTAAGTTTTAAATGTTTTAAATTAACAAGAAATATTTTTTTATTTAATATAAATATAAATTAAAACTTATTAAACTTCTTTAAAAACAATATTGAAGTCTGCGATAATGCAGTGCCCAATTATAATTAACGGCTCAATAAATTATTTTATATAAATAAGTTTAAAAAATATAAAACAGTATAATTAGCCAAAAAATGTTAAGTTAATAATTAAACGGCTTGACCGTTGATCGAGTATGACCATCCCTATTAAAAACTAATTTCTGAATTAAATGTTGTGGATGAATCTAAGAAATTTACGTTATTGGTCGGGAATCCTGCTTCCAAGTTGCAAAAATACATGCGTAGAAATGACTTTGAAACTTTAAGAAAACCTTCTTGAAATAATTGTATTTAAAGGTCAATTTTTGATTTAAGCGCGAATAAAATTTTGAGACGATCATGACTCGCTTTACATATTTATTATGCGAGACAGTCCTCTCGATAGAAACTGTATCTAAATCAAAAATACAATGTGGGACAAAAAAAAGAGAAATTAGTCACGTGATATAAATTGATCTTCTCGCCAAAAATAGTAATATGTAATAAAATATTATGTTTATTGCTACCTTTGTGTTTACCAACACCATTTCATGAAAAAAATTTCATATAAAACCTTGCGCAATGACAAAATTTACGATGAAACTCTATTAAATTTGTGGAACATAGTGCCAATGAATTACATAAACTAACGAATGTTCCACTATCCAGAATTTATAGAAAAATTGAAAAAATAAAAAAAATCGTTCATTAAAGCATGTTGGAGATAATGGTCATCCTAATAAAATCACCGCAAGTGCTTCCCGTGCACTTGGCCAATATGTAAGACATGATACTTCTCTTTCCACAAGAACTTTGGTAAGAAAACTAGAAAACATAAGTATAGAAGCATCATATAGAAATGTCGGAAGTCATCTTTCTTGTGCTGGTTATGTAAAAAATGTAAAAAGACTACCTAAAGCAACTCCAATGCTAACTGAAGCACACAAGTTAAAGCGATTAGAGTGGGCATGAAAACATATTAACGACCGATGGAACAAAACCATGTTTACCGATGAACAGCTATACTGTAGAACTATAAAGGGGAAAGGTCAGTTCGTCGTATGCCTAAGGATCGTACAAAAATAATGGCATGGGTGGTTTTAGTACAAAGGGAAAACAAGTTTATTTTGCTTTAGACAGATCATTAACGCTGAATTTATGTAGAAAGATGTCTAGGATGCTTGTTGGTCGTTGGTGCTTCCAACAAGACAACGACCCCAAGCATATGAGTCATCTTTACAAAAGCTTTCCTCCAAGAAAACTTCCAGTAGTCTTAGATTGGCCATCGAATAGCCCCATTTAAACCCTATTAAAAATTTATGGACAATTATAAAAAGTAAGATAAAGAAGCAGATGCCAAAAAATCTTGATGATCTGGCACATTTTATAGTGGAGGGATGGCAAAATATTCCAGATACTGTTCTAATTAATCTTTCAAATTCAATGAAATGACGTTGCGAATAAAATATTAAAAAAAATGGTGAACGTATACCATATTAATTTTTTTTAATAAAGTTATCTGGTCTTTGACTTTAAATAAAAAAAATTTCACGTGATTTACTATAATAATTGAATGTTGACCGGTTTTTTAATTCTCATTTTTTTTGTCCCACCATTAGACCTTATACTTTGGTAGAACGCAGTAATGACTATATTTAATTTTCCCTAGAAACATTTCTGAATAAGCTTGGACGCCGTCGAAACCTATTTGTCTTAAAATTCCTTAAAAAGTGATCGACATTCGCTCAACTCGTAATCGTTTTAACAAATAATCTATTTTTAAATTAGCTTTATTTTTATTTTATTTTAAATAACACCTGCTTCATTTTCGTTTATGATGAGATTGATAAAATATTGGTGAGATACTGTTTAAATTAATAAATTTGCTAATAAAGCTTTGTCCCTCGTGTGTTACATTGTGTGCACTTTTACATGGCTTTGTCTTATCAACTTTATTGGTCTAAAGGAACACAGTAAATAATTAACATGGAATGATTTCACTTGAGGCAGTGTATATCATTTTTAAATGATAATATATCAAGATTTAAAAAAGATAGCGTATGACATAATATTTTGACAGGAAATTAATTGATAATTTTCATTGATAAATTTGATTTAAAGGCGCGAGTTCTTCAAAGAGCTTGTGGCTTCCCTATGAAAAAATCTATACGGTTTTATGCAATTTTGTGCCAAAAAAGCACTACAATTTCTGGAATGTGCAGGGTGAAATAATCCCAGTACCTTTTCGTTCAAATTTTTAGCACATATTCCTACAATATCTGAAATAGTAAATCAACTGTCTAGTCAATAAAGTTTTTGCATGATTATTTGGCTTAAATTAATCATCATAGATAGTTTTTGTCTTCTCTGCAAGTTTACTTTGAACACAAGAAAGGTTTTAAATATCAGTTTGTTATTATTTGCAATTTTTGTAACAGATAATTAGTTTAATTTAGTTATATTAAATTTACCATACCTTTCAAAAAATACTAACTATATGTTTTCTGATATATTTAATTTTTCAAAATTTTTTTTCTGTACGAATTTCTAGTTGGTTGGCCTTCTACTGATGCACTATCCTCTTTATAATGGACTAAATGGTATTATGTACGATCATTTTTGTATAATTCTATGTTGAAAATTTGCTGATATGCAAGATAAATATGTGAAAAACTATTCGTTTGAGCTTTTATTACAAAAGGTATCTTTGAAAAAGTTTTAATGCAAGAGGTTATTAAGTTTGGAGACATTATGCTTCATAATATTTATTCACTTCCATTTTCGTTAGATATAATGAATTTTACCGCGGAGTTATTGCATAATTCTAGGATTTGAGTTATTGAAGATATGCAAGGTTAAGCTATTCATGTGAGTTTTTATTATCTGCGATTTATTTTCGTAACATGATTTCATTAAATTTTGGAGAAATTATGATTTATGACATCTTATCATCTTATAAAACTACTAATTTGGATGGGAAATGACGATGCGCAAAATAGATTTATTTTGATGTATTAAATTGGATTCATTCAATTTCACCATTTAAAAAAAAAGATGGACTTTTAAAAATTGCTAATTGGGAAAGTTGTTGATTGACAATCAATCTTTTAATTTACGAACAATCAAAAATGTTATGTATTTTTTTTTTTTTTTTTTGATATTTATTGACAGGTATGGCAGTTGAATCATTACAAAAACGGTATGTCTTTTAATAATTACTAATTGGGAAATTGAATTGATCTTTCTATAATAAATCATTACAAATTTCATATTTTGGTTGAAATGGAGGAAAAAAAGAAAAAACGAAAAAAAAACAACTATGACAAAAACTTCGCAAACCGAGGGCGAATGAACACAAACACAAATTATTTTTGGAAAGATTGAAGAAAGCCGTGGAGAATAATTATAATTATAAGGACAACGTGAAACGAATTATAATTATATATGCTACTTTGTATTCTTTTACTATTATACTTGGATTAGTGTTTTTTATTATAAATGCACTTTATACAAGTTTCAAAGTTTCAAGAATTGTAAAGAATTCCATAGCTGAAGTTGGTACTTTTGCTTGTATTTAGGCAAGTATGAAAAATATATCTGAAACTTTTTCAAATCGTCCAAAGGAAATCATATATCTAGTTGGATTTTTTGTTAACCATGGTCCAAAGAATGAATACCCGAAACAATTGAGAAATGTAATTAGATCGTTGGCGTTCATCGGTTCTATTATTTTTATTGCTGTTATTATTCTTGACTTTATTTTAAATGAGCTTTACACAACATTTATTTGGATAGCATTCTTTTTATTATTGGGACATTTGGTTTGATATACTGTATAATGTTATATGAGTTTTTATTTCAGGAATTTAGGATTGACGAGAAACCTGGTTGTAAAAACAAAGTTTTATATTATATTCTCTTTAAAAGCCTGCGTTTGTCGGGTTTAACTTCAAAATCACTACAAGAAACATCGCAAGAAATCAATTTATTGGAGGATATAAAGTACAAAAACGAAAATTATTGTGTTTCAAGAATCACTATTAAACAGAAAAGTTGAAAAAACAAATCTACGAATGAATTAAGTGAGGAGGAAAAGGTAGAACAAATTTTATTTGGTACAAATAAAGTAGAAAGTGAGAAGACAGTAGAAGATAAAGTTTAAGCGTTGATACAGAAATCAACGTCTTAGAATAACACGTTATTATTATTATTTATTTAAATATTTTAATAAAATTTGTTTTATTTTAAAAGTGTATCGGAGTTTAAATAATATAATTTTAAAATAAGTAAATCTACTATTTGAGGAAATATAAATATAAAGAGGTTGTAAAATCGCAAAAAAAAGCGGTTGAGTGAAATTGCCAGTGCGAGATTAATCTAATATGTTAAATATTTTAAAATTGGCGAACTATTGTTACAAATAAATATAATTGTTCTATCGTGTTCTATTAGTTCCAGGGCATTGTGTCCCATTTCTGTTTAAAATTAAGTTTTGTTAGTATTTAGTTAGATTTTTGAAGATCGACGGCCCAATTGTCCCCTGGCCAAATTGTCTGCAGGCCAATTCGTCTCCTGGCCAATATGCCATCCGGCCA